TGACCGGAATCGAACCTGGGACCTTTCAGTCCGCAGGCCGACGCTCTATCCACTGAGCCAAACCGGTTTCGGCTAAGTGTCCTTTTTAGAAAAATATTTATTTTTATAGCTTTCAGGGAGGAAGGGAGAGGGAGAGATAAAAACATCAATGATGAGAGAGAATCAACAATTGGCTGCTATCTGCACGCCTCACACTGGGGATCGAGCCTGCAACTCGGGCATGTGCCTTGACCGGGAGTTGAACTGTGGTCCAGAGTTCAATGCTCAACCACTGAGCCACACTGGCCGGGCTAGCTTTCTCCTTCTCAGTTGATGCTTCCTCTCCGACCAGAAAACTTTCTGCTGGGAATGGGGTTAGGGTCCAGGATCAGAGAGCTCACCGCTCCTCCTTACCAGGTCTCAGCAAAGTTCAGCGAGATTCTATTAAATGAAGTTTTCCGTTTATCTCTCTATTTTCCTCCTCTGTGGGTTTTTTCTCATTGCTCTTCTCTATTAGCTCTGATGGCCAATGGCCAACTGAAAATGATTGATAACTCAAAGTGCTTTCCCATATATATTTTTATATTTTTCCTTCTCTTCCCAGATACTAAAGTATACGCTGCTTTGGGAAATCATGACTTTCACCCCAAAAGCCAGCTCCCAGCAGGGAGCAACAGTATCTACAATCAGATAGCAGAACTATGGAGACCCTGGCTCAATAATGAATCCATTGCTCTCTTCAAAGAAGGTACTAATTCCATTTGCTACTATACGCACTCATTGTACACCAAGGTCTAATCTAATTCATCTTTACCACATCCCCACGAGATTGGTGCTGATTCTATCCCTATTTTATAGATAAGGAGACTGAGGTTTAAAGATACCAAATCACTTGGCCAACGTCACCCCTTAGAGGAGGCAGACATGATAGCAGAACCCATACTCTTATCCCCACGGCACTAATGAGGATGAGCAGTGAATATTATTGAGAGTTTATTGTGTGCCAAGCACTACCTTCTGTGCACTATTAGACTCTTTGCAAATACACTAGGAAAAAGCAGTGACCTTCAATTCAGTTCAAGGAGGGTTTCTCAACCTTGTCACTATTGACATTTGGGGCAGAATGGCTTTGTAGGAGCTGTGCTGTGAACTATAGGCTGTTTAGCAGCATCTCTGGCCTCTACCCCTAGGTGCCAGTAACACCCCCAGTTGCAATACCAAAAAATGTCTCTAGACATTGCCAAACGCTCCCTGGGGGACAAAGATCACCTGGTTGAGGACAACTGACCCAAAGACAGCCTGCCCAAGGTAACCCCATTCCCCTTTCTGTTCCTCAGTCCCCTGCTGCTGGGGCTCCCCATTGGTCAGACCAACCAGAAGCCTGTGGCACAGAAGCTCACTGGCTTAGTTCACATAGGTCAGCTCCTAGGCAAAGAGCCGAGTAGAAAAGGGTTGATGATGCATCTGGAGGGGCAAACACACCTCATTGTTATCACCATGATACGATGAGGAAACACAGAGAAGTCAGGTAACTTCCCCAAGTTGCACAGCTAATAAGTGATAGAAGCAGGATTTGAACCAACGTAACCTGACTCCAGAGCCTTAGGTCTTAACCCATGATGCCCATCTTATGGGAAAGATGGGAACGGAGTATTAAGGGAGGGAGGCAGTGGGAGGGTAAAGGGGGGCAGAGGTGTGTTTAGTCAGAGGCAGAGGGCCCCTTCATATTTTCCCTGGCTGTGATGTCCTAGGTGCGTTCTATTCTGAGAAGTTGCTGGGGACGACTGGGCGCGTTGTGGTCCTCAACACCAATCTGTACTACACCAGCAATGAGCAGACGGCCAACATGGCTGACCCTGCCCAGCAGTTCCAGTGGCTGGAAGATGTGCTGAGCAACGCATCCAGAGCTGGGGAAAAGGTACAGGCTCCTACCTCCTCCCCTCCCTCTCACTCTGGAATCACTTCCTGAGTCTCCTACCTCTGCACAAATTCATCTGTTTTTTGCAGATGCCTACATCACAGGTTGGAGTGGGGAACCTTTTTCTGCCAAGGGCCATTCGGATACTTATAACATCATTTGCGGGCTGTACAAAATTATCAACTTAAAAATTAGCCTGTTATATTTGGTTAAACATTTAATTAACTCAGCCCTAGTGCCTTGGAAGAGCCAGACCAAATGATTTCACGGGCCTATATGGTCCGCGGGCCAGACGTTCTCCACCCCTGACAGAGGTTCTTTATCAGCCTGACACCAGGAGGGGGGGTTTGTCCATCCTCAGAACAGCCTGTGAGTCTGGGACCCCAATGCCCATTGCAGATGTGAGGCTCGCGAGGGGTGGTGATGATCCCAAGTCACACAGTAAGTGGTGGGGCCAAGACCAGAACCCCTGACTCCAAGTCCAGTGCTCTTTTCACTTCTGCCACACTCCACGGCTGCAGACCACATTGTGGGCTAGACTTTAAGGGGCTGCTCTGCCCTTGGTTGGAATGCCTGTAAGGAGGATTCTCTGAAAGGCCGGGGGCCTCTAGGGGGACCTTGCCAAAGGCAGCAGCCCCTACCTTGACTTTTCCAAACAAGTGCTATCCCCTGGGGTGTTTTGCTAGAATCTCTCTGTTTAGTCTTTAAAGACCCGACCTTGTAGAAGCATATACTTTCTCAAGGATACTGACCCTACTGATTGTATTTAGAGGTTAATTTCAGTTCAAGCTGTCGTTACAATAAAAAGCTAAAGAAGCAGGCAATCAGGGCTATTTCAGTTGCTAAAGCTAAACAGTCCCTTAGCCTTCTCTTCTACAGAAACGTGTGTCAGAGTAATCTGTTCATCCATCGCTCAGGGCCTGCTGGTCAGCCCTGGCACTGCCCTTGAGGTGAGTCCAGCTAGTCTGCTGGGCTGGCAGCTCCCTGAGGACTGGTCCTGTGTCTCATTTGCTTGAGTCCCTGCATGGAACAGCAGCACCTCCCAGCAGGATTTCATGGCTGGTGCTTCTGAGCACTCACTGTGCATTATCTCATTTAACTCTCAAAGCTCCCCCAGTTAGGTGCTATTCCCGATGACAAAACTGAAGCTCATGGGGGCTGAAGGGGTAAGAGATCAACCAAAGGACTTGTATGCATGCATAGGAGCATAACCAATGGACACAGACAGTAGGGGGGCGAGGGCATGTGCTGGGGGGGTGGGAGTGGCTGGGGAGAGGTCAATGGAGGGAAAAGGAGACTCATGTAATACTTTAAACCATAAAGAACTTAAATTATAAAACAAAGCAAAAACAACAACACTGAAGCTCAGAGCGGCGACACACCACTGGTGGGCTCCAAAGTTCATGCTCCTAATTGCCCTCTCCCTCACCCCCATTCTACTTCTTGCAGTGGTGGCCAAGTGTCCAGGTATTGGTAGCTGAGTGATTCAAGGAATGGAAGATGTGATCACCTATGAACACTTAGCATGTGCTACGCAGTCATGCAGGGCAGGCTCCGCTACACCACCCAGCTCTCCAAGAGGAGACCAGTCTGCGAGGATCAGGAAGGGTTCAGGAGGAGGCGTCCTTTGAACTGGGTTTGGAAGTCTGAGTAGGATTATAGAAGTGAAATTAAAAAGGGCACTCCAGGTGGCAGGCACAGCACGGGCAAAGCAGAGGTGGGAAGCATGTGTACATTACAGGGTACAGAGAATACTGGCATCTGCTCGGAAGAGGGGAAGCAGAGGGGGTGCACTTGAACCTGTCTGCTTGCCTTTGGGGAGATGGGCAGGTTGTGAGAGGTGGAAATGAAGGGCTGGGGAGGGCATCTCTGAGCCCCTCCTGGCACGCCTTCCTCGTAGGTGTACATCATTGGCCACGTGCCCCCGGGGTTCTTTGAGAAGAAAGGGCACAAAATGTGGTTCCGGGAGGGATTCAACGAGAAGTACCTGAAGGTGGTCCAGAAGCACCATCGAGTCATCGCAGGGCAGTTCTTCGGGCACAACCACTTGGACAGCTTTCGGATGTTCTATGATGATGCAGGTACTCAACCTGGAGAGCGCCTGCCAGCCTCCCTCCCTCCTCTCACCAGCCTCTCACAGTCCCATTGTCTCTCTCCTAAAAGGTGCCCCCATCAGTGTCATGTTCCTTACACCTGGAGTCACCCCATGGAAAACCACATTACCCGGAGTGGTCAATGGGGCCAACAATCCAGGCATCCGAGTGTTCCAATACGACCGAGCCACGCTGAGCCTGCAGGTCAGGAGCCCTGGGTCTGCTGGGGGTGGAGGAGGTGGGAAGGAGGGAGGGAGGCAGGGCCCTAAACACATCACCACACTCCCGAATTCTTTCCCAGCTAATCCACACTCTAATGACCACTGAATCTCAGGAAGGTCACGTTACTTCCCTCCTGCTGGAACTCAGGGTCAGACCCCTGGTGCTAGCTCCAAATCCTGCCACCAAATCAGGTCATTTCTTCTTCCCCAAATCTCCCTTCGCCCGGATCATTGCCACGCGCCTCCTACCTAATTTCTCTGCCTCCAGCACTGCACTGCAGTAGCTCACCTGCTGCCTACTACAGAAGAGATTAATCTTTTTAAAGCACTTGTCTCTCTCCTGCTCAATAACCTTCAATGGCTCCCCAGTGTCCCCAAGATAAGATGGATCTCCTCAGCCTGGTATTCAAGCATGCCCGCAGGCCCACTGCCCACAGGTCTGTCTTCTCTACACCGATTACACTGCAGCTAATGCAGGTTCCCAACTCATCAAGCAGCCCGTCACCTCCCGGGATGTGCTTGTGAGGATTGAAATGACAAAGAAACATTATTCCTTAATTTATTCAACAAATATTAATGATCTGCTATGTGCCAGGCTGGTGCTAAGCACAGGAGATACCTAAGTGAACACAATGAAGTCACTGCTTTCCTGGAGCTGGTATCCTTACAGGAGTAAACAACTAAGTCACGTCAAGTGCGGCATGAGATGCGTGCTAAGGAGAAAAGAAAACAGCGAAGAGGCAGGTGGTGACGATGGTCATAGAGTGTGTGCGCCGTTAGATAGGTGTGGCAGGAAAGTGTCACTGACAGGATGCCATTTCAATCCCGAGTAAACTGAGGGAGCGAGCCATGTGAGCATCTGGTGGAGGAAGAGCTGGTCTTTTGCCCTGGGGTGGGAGTGTGCCTGGTGTCTTAGAAGAGCAAGGAGGCCAGTGTGGCCACAGTGGGAGGCACAAGGAGAGAGTGGGAAGGACAAGGTTAGATCACCCAGGCCATGAGCAGGACTCTGGATTTGGAAGGTTTGGGGCAGAAGAATTAAATATGCTGATGTACAAAATTTACAAAACCACCATGTCTGCTGTGCAGAGAACAGGCTGTAGAGGTCAAGGGCAGAAGCAGGAGGATGAGACAGGAGGTGGCTGCACCAACCACGAGAGGTGATGGTGCTGTGGGCCAAGGTGGTAGCCGGGGGTGGTGAGACGTGCCAGATCCTGGATGTATTGTGACGGCAGAGCAGACAGGATTTGCTGGTGGATTGGACGAGGGGTGCGAGGACAGAGGAATCCAGGAGGACTCCAAGGCTTTGGTCTGAAAACCTGGAAGGAGGAAGCTGCTGTTGACTGCAATGGGATCACTGCAGGAGCAAGTTTCAGAGGGAAGACCAGAAAATTGGTTTTTGGGCCTGTTAGCTTCAGGATGTCTAAGTGGCATGCAAGTGAAAATGCCGAGGGAGGAGGCGGCTGGAGTCCCAGGAAGAGGTGAGTACTGAGATTTAATCTGGGAGTTGAGAAATGCCATTTAAAACACGGACTGGGTAAGATAACCTCGGTCCTTGATTCTGGAGTAAATGAAGATGGAGAAGAGGGCTGAGGATTGTGAAGAGTGTGATCTCTTGTCCACTTGGGCACTCAGAGGGCTCTATTCAGCAAGAGGAATCACAGGCTGGGACACCCTCCTCCTCCCTGCACCTGGCCCCACGATGCAATGTGAGAGGTCGCAGTTCTAGCCTGGGCACCAACATGCCTTATCAGCGGTTCTCAACCTGTGGGTCGCGACCCCTTTGGGGGTTGAACGACCCTTTCACAGGGGTTGCCTAACACCATTGGAAAACACATACATAATTACGTATTGTTTTTGTGATTAATCACTGTGCTGTAATTATGTTCAGTTTGTAACAATGAAACTGGGGGTCACCACAGTGAGGAACTGTGTTAAAGGGTCGCGGCATTAGGAAGGTTGAGAACCACTGCCTTACATCCTTCTCAGGGAGGGAGTCAGACACACGCGGGTTTGAATCTTGGCTCCGCCACTCAGGAGCTGTTGACCTCTGTGGGCTTCCCTTGCTTCCTCTGTAAATGGGAGGCAGAAAATACCACGCATACATGGCAGCTCCTCTAACCCCACCTCTAGTGACCTGAAGCAGATCCACAGATTTAAGTGGAAAATGTTGGACAGATAAACCCTTCCAGGTTCTAGTCCTAAAGATGCACCTGAGTCCTAGGGGTCTTGGGTGTATCCCAAGCCTCCAGTCAACCACAATTCTATAGCCTATCTCAGCCAGGCACTCCGTCCTACTTCTTTTAAGTTGCTTTTTATCCATTTATTCTATAAATATTTACTGAGCATCTTCTGTGTACCCGGAAGCTTGCTGGGACAGGAAATGCACAGGCCATGGGGTCAACCACCTGTTTTCACTACTGCCTTGGCCACTGAACACCTGTAGGACCCTGGGCAAAGAAATTAACCTCTTTAGGACTCAGTGTCTTCATCTGTGAAATGGGGGTGATAAGCACAGTTACTTTATCAGATTCTGTCTCTGTCTTTCTCTCTCTTACACACACACACACACACACACACACACACACACACACACCCCCTGGTAAGTAGTAAATGCTCATGAACTAACAGCAGTCATTATGGAGGGCGGGGGCAAAGGCAAGGTGCAGGATTGGGGGTGGAAGCAGACAGTTGTCCATAGCCGGCCTCCTGCCCCCTCTCCAGGACATGATGACTTACTTCATGAACCTGAGCCAGGCGAACGCGCAGGGAACAGCGCGCTGGGAGCTCGAGTACCAGCTGACCAAGGCCTTCACGGTGCCTGATGCCAGCGCCCGCTCCATGCACGATGTGCTGGGCCGCATCGCCCGCGACCAGGGCACGCTGCAGCGATACTACGTCTACAACTCGGTCAGCCTCGACACGCGGGCCTGCGACCAGAT